TAATCACAAACTCTACAACATTTATTAGGATTGTAAACACACGACAAAAGTACTTTACATACAGAGTTAGACAGCTCAACAAGCAAGTATTCAGTATTACCATCGATTGATTGAGAAATCAGCTTCGTATTCAAGTATTTTTTACAATATATCGTTAGCACCTTCACTAGGTAAATCCTCTAGTTGTTGTTGTTGTTGTCGAAGATATTGGCGTTACTACCGCGGTTGCTACTGATGCCATTGTTATGAAATTTTCTGTGTTGTTGGCGCTTTCCCTTCGAAAACACTATTGTGAAGGTAACAACTGCGTAGATACAAAGAGTGCAGCTGCTGATGGTTCGCTTCTTAGAGGGCAGAGTGAAACTGCAGCCGTAATATTGTTGTTGTGAATTTTCTTCAGATAATTTTGTATTTGAACCCTGCGTAAAAGTATCTGCTGCTGTTTGTACTAAAGCGAAGATATTTTGCAGTACTACCACCAAAAATTAAATTAAACGACGTATATATATATGTATATTTGCTTGTTGCTTGTTGCAAGTAACCGGAACAAAAACAATACAACCAAGTTAATAAGGTTTACGTATGTGATATGCTTTGAAAAGGAGCTGTATAACTTAAAGGATCTATTGCCGGAGCAAGAGGGGCTGCTGGTTATTTAACTTCCGTAGGTGTGTAGAATTTTTGCGGTTCTGGTGGCTTACTCTCCTATGTTTCCAATCCGCTGCTCCTGGCAGGATCGCCAAATGTAAGGTTTTGAAAGGTATTTATTCTTAAATAAATTTAATTATGACAAGTTAACAAAATTTATTTTATTTTACGTTGTTAACAATTCGAGAAAAGTTTGAATAATAAAAAATTTTCTATTTGATGTTTGAACTACAAAAATCACTTAAGTATAAATTTTTTTAAAATTACAAAGTTGAAATTAACACAGTTACTTCGTCCGTCAGTTCGTAGAGATGCCTCCTGACGTGCCTTGGCGAGGGCTCTTCTGCATGCAGTTGTCTATTTGGGTGACGTCTGTGGCTCCCAACTAGAAACTGCTTTCATTGTGTTATGCTCCTTAATAGGGAGCATATGGGCCTCGTCGTGCAGGTGAAGTTGCGGCGACATCAGAAGGCATCCTGTCGTTGTCCCCGGTGACCACACAGGAGCTGCATAGTTCAGAACCGGCCGGTCAATTGCATTGTACGGTGCCAACAACGTTTTTTTGTCTTTGCCTCAGTAGCTGCCGGCTAGCGACTTGAGGACCTTGTTGCGGCTATGTACTTTATTGACAATTGCAGTTGTTTGTGCCGAGAGGGAGAGCAGACTGTCGAAGGTTACCCCTTCGGGTTGTTCACCATCGGAATTGGTTCGTCATCGACGTGAATACCCAGTTGCAGTCTGACCTCTTTCGTCCAAGTGGTGAAAAGTGTTGCTGAGGATTTTTTAGGAGAGAGGGTTGGCCTCCCTGCAGTGAATAAGGGAGAAAGCTCGGCGAGATAACCGTTTACTTTCGAGCACAAGTCATCAATTCCATTCCCGGACGCCATGATCGAGCAATCGTCAGCATATGAGACAATCTAGACTCCCTCTGGTGGTTGAGGGAACTTAGAAATGTAAAAGTTAAACAGTAGTGGGGTAAAGACACCACCCTGTGGAACCCATTGTTTTATTTTCCTAGGTTTGCTCGATTTGGCTCTAAATGTTACTGACGAGTGACGACCATTCAGATAATTCGCCGACCGCCGTTTGAGTCCCTGTGGGAGAGAGGAGGGCTCTATGTTTTCTAGTAGCGTTGAATGGTTGACGGTGTCGAATGCCTTGGGCAGGTCCAACGCTACTACACCATTTCCAGTTGGATTTTGGAAGGCGTCAATTGGATTTTAGAATAGTTAATTGTATTTTAGATGGCGTAAATTGGATTTTAGAATAGTCAACTGGATTTTAGAAAGGGCCATATGGATTTTAGAATAGTCAACTGGATTTTAGAAACGATCAATTGGATTTTAGAATAGTCAACTGGATTTTAGAAAGAGTCAATTGGATTTGAGAATAGTCAATTGGATTTGAGAAAGTGTAAATAGGATTTTAGAAAGCGTTAATTGGATTTTTTAATGATTCATACGCTATGCTATGCATATGATTATGTGGTTTCAAATATTGCTGAAGTATCAGTTATAACTACTTTTTATTAAGTTTTAACAATATAATATATATTAAAGTTAAACAACAGGTTACATTTAGGAATATACGATCTGTTTGTAGTATAAAAGAAAGCGTATAATGAAGACGTGAGCGGAATATTAAAATTATGTAGTAGAATAATGTATATAAAAAGAATATAGGTGCACAGGAGTGAAATGTAATGTAATAGTAAATGAGTAATGTAAAATGGAAGAGCAAGACAATAGTATATGTACCAAAATTCCATGTTTTACATACTTGGAAGAAATAAAATGCCATTTAAAAAAATTTTATTCGCCAACTCTCATATCTCGTTTGGCAATTGCATCCGCATAGAAAGTAGTACGCTTAAAAGTGAAATTTGCATTGACAAATACCGCACATAAGAAAAAACTGGCTACTTCCAAATTTTTGAAGAAAATTCTAAAATTCACTTCACATTTTCTAAAATCCAATTTACGTTTTCTAAAATCCAATTTACGTTTTCTTAAATTCAGCTAACTATTCTAAAATCCAATTTGCGCTTTCTAAAATCCAGTTGACTATTCTAAAATCCAACTTACGCTTTCTAAAGTCCAGTTGAGTATTCTAAAAGCCAATTTACGCTTTCTAAAATCCATTTGACTATTCTAAAATCCAATTGACTCTTTCTAACATCCAATTGACTCTTTCTAAAATCCAACTGGAAATGGTGTAGAATGGTTTTCACAGGAGCGGTTTCGGTTAAGACCACGAGTTATCTGAACATTTATGGCGTTAAGTGCTGTTGTTGTGCTGTTGTTGTGCTGTGCACTTTACGGAACCCATGCTGATGCCTCGCTGGGGTCAGGTGGTTTGTGTAGTGCGGGAGTAGAAGGGCCTCCAGTGTCTTCGCTACCGGGGAAAGGAGATTTATCGGGCCATAGGACTCTCCTTTGTTTGACGGTTTACCCGGTTTAAACAGTGGGACCACTCTCCCCATTTTCCAGATGTCTGGTATGATGAGAGTGGCCATTGACAGGTTGAGGACCTTGGTTAGATAGTGCCCTCCCGCAGGACCCAAATTTTTCAGCGTCAACATGCAAATTCCGTCGGGTCCCATAGCTTTGGAGGCTTTTGCCTTCTCTATGGCTACCCTTACCTCACCGCTGGTGAAGTTTGTACAGCCTTCTGGTCACTCGACGTTTGGCTTTGTCCACCGGAGGATGCAGTATGAACTGTCGGCTAAAAGAGCTCGCGCATCGCTCCGAGTCCGACGAAGCGTGGTCGCCAAAATTTATTTCAACTCTGTTGTCACGCTTCGTCGGGTTGGATAATGACCTGACCGTTGACCAGAGCTTGCTCACACCAGAGGCAAAGTTACAGTTCTTCAAATGCTCTTCCCATTCCTTCCGCTTATGTACGTTCACTAGTTTCCGATTCTCCGAGTTGAGATCCCTGACACGGGGATTCAGCCGCTTCGGCAGGAAAATTCGGATGGGGGTCCGAAATGCATCCCGCTGGGATGAATCGGGCTGCAGAAGTAGTGGTAACCCTGCGGAACTTACGCTCACGTACGTGAATGTCGGTTGGTGTGGGTACAGCAGTGAAGTTGCTTTCAGTAACATCCGCGAAGCCTTTCCTGAAGCCTGAAGTCACCAACTACCATACGGTTTTCACCTCTAATGAGTACACGTGTTTCAGGGTGATTCCTGCCGGGCAGCTGGTGACAGGGGGTATGTATACGTTAAATATTTCGAGCTCGACATCGCCTGATAGGATAGCAATACCATGACTTTCTAGGATGGTATCCCTGCGGTCGATGTTTGCGTCGATAAGACGATACTGCACCGTGTGGTAGGTGATGAACGCTAGGCCGCCGCCATTATCTCGCTTGTGATCTCGACGATGCACGTTGTATCCGGTGCAATTCAACAATGTTGATAAAAACAAATTTCCCAAAAATTTCGAGACGAAAGAAACAAATACAACATCAAAAGTAAATGACGAATATGTGGTTTAGAATTAAAGTGCACACTTTCTTCATTCATGCCTAGTAGTTTTTTTTAATATTGGTCGACTAAATCATAATAAAGAAAGAAACAAATGCAGGTATTAAAAGTACAGAAAGAAAAATTATTAAAATAACTTCGACGTACGTCAGAGATCAAGCAGAAGTGGGAACGTAAATGACTGCCCTTTGATATCTCGGTTATAAAACTTGCGAAATAATAGGGGTACTCTCGCAGTCTTGCAAAGCCCTTGCACGGTGCACGGATTCCACGGTTTGCAAAGCTGTCCCATATGGAAACCGGTTTTTACCGTGCAATCCATGTAAGACGTGCACCGCGCAAGGGCTTTGCAAGATTCCTACAATACCCCGTATATGTTTAAATACACTTGTATCAAAGCTGATATATCGACTTTTGACCAGTTTTGTTACACAAATACTCCTATGTGCGGCACACGGGTAACGCATCTCCTAAAATTTGTCATATTGTTTGCCAGATATTCGTTTTTTCACTGCACTTGCACAACATTCGCATTCGCAAAAGCTCCGCATTGATTATTGACAATGCGAAAGCGAATGTTAAAATTAATGCGGAAGCTCCGCGGCTGCTAATGTGAATGCGAATATTGACAAGAACCCTTGTGTAAAAATGATTGAAATATTTTTTCGACATTATATTGAAATTTATGTTATTGAAAAAAAGTACCAGGGTGCTTTTGTTTTGGCCAGTACTGGATGTGCACATTAGTTAGCAATTATTCATTGAATTGAAGACGAAATCATAAGTTTTATACGTAGATATCGAGATTATTGACTTAAAAACTGGCAAGCATGAATTAAACAATTAAAAATATTGTTTCAGGAATCCCAGCAATGACGGGCAGTGCTATAATCGGCGGAGTTTTGCTGGCATTAATAGAAGGCGTTGGAATTTTATTTACACGTCTTTCAGCAGAACAATTCCGAAATCCTACTCCGCCTACTGAGGACCCACTGGCGTTGGAAAGTGCATCAAAATCCTTTAGTTTCGGACAGCCGCAGCAACATCGATCTCAATATCAGTAACCGGTACAACAATAAAAGTATCGGTGAATGCGTGGACTACGTGGATTTAAAATAACTACCCCCGGCACGTTCTTAAATCATATAAGTTTAAATCGGTGCGATTTCCAAAATATCTTTGAATATTTGTTTTTGAAATAATTAATATCTTTTACACACATAATTTATGAAATATATATTTAAGTATTTAAAAAGAAAATTCTAGATCGTGGGTAAACATATTAGCCAGGCTTTATTGTAAGACAAAGAGCATTGAAAATACACCCTGCACGTTTTTGACATTTTCAAATAAATTTCAAACCCATACGGACAATCATTTTCGTTTCCAGTCTTTTACAAATAATCTAAACTCGCAAATGCCAAAAAAATCAACTGAGAGGTAGGAATCCCATTAAAATTTAATAAGAACGTATATGGATTAGTACTACCGGCGACGAGGCTGCTGTTCCCACCACAGTCGTAACCGGAACGACTCAGATTTATATCTGGCCAAGGACTGTCAGTCTAGCAATGCTCCCTAAACACTTTTTGGGGAATATGTATCCTGTTACAACAACACCAACGAGGCTGCTGTCGTTGCTGTAGCGAAATCAGAAAAATCTTTATAGCTTGGAGATTTTTGGTTATCAACTTTTGCTCCTAAGAATTGCTATTTTTACAACGCTTTTATCAATTTGCAATGTTGTATGTCCAGACACCATTTTTACCTATAATTGTAGGCTATAGTCAACGATCCTATACAAAAGTCTAGACATCAACCTCGACGGTAGGCCCTGCCGGAAGTAGTTAAATATTGCGCCTAAAAATATGCACTATATACGCTACAGCGGAAGTGGACGAAAAGCCATTTCTTTAAATGAAATTAATTATGTGAGCACAAAACATTTTGCTTGCATATGCACAAAATAACCCCAAAAAATTTTGCGCCCAACTTTTACAAATAGGAATTGAATAATAATCTTATTTGTACTAATTTGTATTTGCGCAAATATTTGTGTGGTGTATTTTGCGCAATTGTCTTCTTTCTACACTGCAAGTTAAATTATTTTAAAATCTGTTGCAAAATTTTATATTGACACAAGACTAAAAAGTATGAAATAAATAAAATAAAAAGAAAACTTTTTAATATACCACGCTTTTATAAATTGACCAAAAAGTAGAAAATAATATTTCTCAGTCCCATAAAATTTGTTTTGATAACTTTTGATTTTGAAATTTTAGCAAAAGTCATTGTAAACAATTTATGAGATTGAAAATGAAAAGCGTGGGGCGCATGTAATTGACTCGAATTGATATGAAAAGTAATATATGTATGTATGTATGTGGGTATATGAATAACGACCTCTTAAAATCGATCTCAAATTTGTACTTTCGCTGTAGAAATTTTAGGTCTATGTTATGTAGTTTGACTATTGTTAATTAAATCTAATGTTGTTGTTGCAGCCGCAGTACTCACCCCCCGGGGTTTCGTCATGGGTCGTCTTCGTCCTCTGACTCGACAAGCCTGAGGCCAAGAAAGCGGGCGGCGTCGATAGGCGCGGTCCATAGTGCTTCTGGTGTAAGGGTCGTGGGGTTAGAGGCGCAATCGAAGAGCTGTTGGGTGTTGTGTGGACCTTGCCCGCGTGCAGGGCATGTGTCTGCCATTTCTGGGTTCAGCCGGGAGAGATAGCTGTTTAGTCTGTGGCACCACGCAGAACGGAGTTGTGCTAGGGTCTAATCTAATGCTTTGCATTGCATGCGCTCCACGTTTTTCGTTTTCAATCTTACAAATTATTTATAATGACTTGCTAAAACTTCAAAATCAAAAGTTATCAAAACAAATTCTATGGGACAGAGAAATACTATTTTCTACTTTAAAAAGTTTTTTATTTTATTTATTTGAGATATATCGATTCACAATGTTAGTAAAAGTTTCAACTACATATTAATGAAATTCGAAAATTTGTATGGAATGTTTTTGTACCAGTATAACAGTCATACGTTTTATCGCAAAAACGTTGTTTCATAAAAGTTATTAGATGATAAATATTTTTTATTTCGTCGATAAGAGTTATAAACGAACGTTTATTTTTTAAATTGCCTGATAATTGTTTTGCCGGAGAAATATTTTTTTCGTTGTCGATAAGAGTTATTTCACATGTAAGATAGAGAAGATGGGAATAAAAGTGAATAGTGAAATAACTATTATCAGGGAACGTAAAAATAAACGTCGAGCAATAACTGTTATCAAGCAACGTAAAAAATAAGCGTTCATTTCAGAATTTGGTCCACGCTTTGAATTTGTAAATTCGAGATAACAGTTAATTTTGGTCCCTGATTTTTACTTAAGTGCTCATAACTCCTAACTCTGTAATTGTTTCGAAGTTGACAAGTTCGTTCATGTTGATATTTGTATCGAAAGTAAATTTCATTTGGACTTTCTGCACCATGCAGTATTATACTTCGATAAATCAATTAGATAGATAGGTGATAATAAAATGAGGTTTGCACCGCAACCTAGGGCCTCTTTTCCTCCGCTAGGGCAGGCACCTTGCTTAGTCGAATCATGACCAGACCTTATCATCGGGTGGTAGTGTAATCGTGTCTCTACCTCCGGGTACTGTGCGAATGCACTCCATTTCCTATGGTTCGGTCTGCTTGTGAGCGATGACCAAGAACCAAGGGTGGGGCAGCTGCTGCTGCAGGGTGCAGTAAGAGGTTGGAGCCGTCCCCTTCGTCTGCACTTGTCTCTAGTGGTGCCGGTGGGAACGCACCGCACCTAGGGGTTAGGGGCGCGGGCAAATTCGCCTGCATGCAGGACGGAGGCAGGGCAGCAGATGAAATCGTCTGCGGCTCTGGCAATGAACAGTGTGGCCGGTACCAGCCAAGGACTTGCGGCTAAATCTGGGGGAAATCCGCCCCGTCAGGCGTAAACGGCACGCTGGGCCGTCCAGGAAAGCACGCGATGACCGTCGCATGGCTACCAAGATCATGGCGCGCTACGGCGAGCAGGGTGCTGTGCAGCTATCTGAGCAGCACGCGCTATCGCTCGAGTGGGCCAGATGGGTGCTAAGCGACGGCCAGGAGTGCTGTGGTGACGGGGTTTCTGGGGATGCGAGCGCATCCCGTATTGACCCTGTCAAGCGGCAGAGATCGCAGGAAGGGGAAACCTTCCTCCAAGAAGACCAGAGCGGGAGGGACGCCTAAGCTCTTTAGCGAGATCGCTAAATCGGCGGGCTTTACCACTCTGGGCATTTTGGATCGGGGTAAGGAGGACGGCGCCATCGCCAGGGAAGACTGGAGGAAGGTGTGGTCGGCTTTATCAGGAGTTTTAATGAGGGGGGTCAGGGAAAACCCGGGCCCACCGCCGCGGTGCGAGAGTTCAGGTTGGCACCAGGGTATGTTTAAGAAGTTGGTGTTTGCCGACGAGCGGTCGGCCTCGCTCTACAGGGCGGCAGTAGGTTGATCGGGGAGGTGTAGAAGGGAGCCAGATTCGAGGTTGTGGACAAGGGGGACCTTCCCTCGGGTCCGCGTGCTCAAGTCTGGCTTCCCTCGGCACCTTCCTCGCTAAGGGAGGTGGAAGATATCTTCCGCTACTGCAACCCGGACCTTCCAGCGCACAACTGGAAGGCAATCCGGTTTGAGAGTTCCGACGGTGACTCCCGGCAAGCGCTGATGTTGCTGAATACGGAATCTCTGAAGCCTCTCGTCGAAAAACTGAGTCATTTACTATGGCTTCGAGAAGGTAGTAATGAAGGTCTGGAGTCAGTCTGGTACTCCAGGAGATATGACGAGCCTGTTCCGGTAGGTATGGAGGTTGAATCCGTCATGTCGGACAGTAACAGCATTGCTGGCCCTCTTTCAACTGCGGGATCGGTCATCTCTGTTGGCCCGCTATTCGACAGGGCTCCTTGCTCCTTGCGTCCGATGGGGATGGCGCCTGTGGAGGCCTGCTGGAGAGGATTTCGGAGGATGAATATTCGTATTAATAAGGAATGCAGTGGCAGAAGCTAGACGCAGGAGGGTCCGCGTTGTTATTGTGTCTGACGCGAATTCCCACCATACGATTTGGGGCAGCTCAGACATCAACACTAGAGGTGAGTCACTCTTTAACTTTATTCGAAATGAAAATTTATGTATATGTAATAGGGGCAGCGACCCCACTTTTGTAACGGCAAGCAGAGAAGGGGTTTTAGATATCACGCTGGCCTCGTCTGATATAATGTCCCGTATATCTGGCTGTAGAGTCATTAGTGACCACTCCTTCTCCGATCATCGGTATATACAATTTGCTTTGGACGAAGTGCGTCCTAAGTACGAACCTTACAGGAATCTGAGCAGAACCAACTGGGACTCATACTGCAGAAGTCTGCAGGAAATGCTTCCGGACTGAAAGCGAAATTGACGAATTAATTGGTGTGTTCACCACCTCATGTAAAAGGGCCATTGATATGTCTTGTCCCCTGAGTTACCACAAAGGTAAGAGTAAACCGCTCTGGTGGTCGGAGGAGCTCTCCGATCTTAGGGCCTCGAGCAGAGGCCTTTTTAATAGGGCCAGGAAGAGTAAATTAGCCTCCGACTGGGCACTGTATAAGATTGGGCTTGGATATATAAAGCGAAAAGGGCGTCGTGGAGACTGTTCTGCGAAAGCGTGGAGGGCAGTCAGGAGTGTTCAAGGTTTAGACGAGTGGATCGCCTTCTGTGGGCCATTAGCTCGTTCAAGCCCTTTAAGGCCCCGGGCCCCGATGGCATAATACCTGCCCAACTGCACAAGTCTGCACAAGTGTCGTGCCGCTGGGTGATGCCCATTTTCGAGGGCTGTTTGGCTAAGGGTCGTGCTCCGGTGTCTGGGAGGGTGGTCTGCGTGGGGTTCATTCCCAAGGCGGGTAAAGCCTCTCATGTATCACCCAGGGATTTCTCTTCGTTTCTTTTGAAGACGCTGGAGAGGCTGATCGTTCTGAATTTATGGAGCGGGATCCTCAGGTACCGCCTTTTCTTGGATCAGCATGCTTATTGCAAGGGCAAGTCTGTCGAAACGGCCTTACACACGGTCGTTGAAAATATTGAGCAATCCTTCTCGCAGAAGGAATTTGTGGTCGGTGCCTTCCTTGATATCGAGGGGCTTTTAACAATGTTTTTCCTGAGGCTGTAGTTAACTCCCTAAATAAGCTAGGGGTCGGAGCCGACCTTGTCAGGTTTATTTACCGCTTGCTTTGCAATAGAACTGTCGCGGGAGACCTGCTGGTGTCTCTGGAAAGAAGTGGCTGTCGGGTGGTTACCTATGCCGATGATGTAGTATTGATAACAAAAGGAAAGTTTCCGGAAGCACTGTTTG